ATATGTTAAGCAGAATTGTAATGAAGAGGTCTGTTAGACTGTAGAATAGTTTCCCAAGGGGAATGTTGGAAGCTATATTGCTTGAGACCTTTAAAACCATCACTAGACAGCATATTAGAAAATATATAGCCGAGAACAAACCTGCATCAGCCCTGGAGTGGACTAGACAGAAGATCTTTTAAATCTGTGATTCTTTGATTACTGGTTTGCTATTATTTTTTCCAGGACTCCCCAAATCAATGGACTTTGATTCTGCCCCTGCTTCCTTACTACTGAACACAGTGTACTTTCACTTTTGAAAAGCTCAAGGATTCTCTTTTATTTGTGCTTTATCTCTATTGATAAAGTAGGGCGCACAGATTTTATTCGCAAAGAAATATTTGAACACAATGATGATGGGGAAAAAAAGAAAATTCGCCCTGGCTACATCTACACTACGAGTTTTCTCTGCAAAAAATATGCTAAAGAGGGACTAATTTGCATGAGTTGTGATCTCATTTGCATATTTTATGCCAATCCGTTTTTTCACTGGGGTTTTTGCGCAAAAAGAAGCAATGTGAATGTAGATTGGTAGGATCTTGCAGAAAAGGGTTTTTTTTGCGCAAAAAGAAAACGTCCACACTGCTTCTTTTTGTGCAAAAACCCCAGCGCGAAAATGGATCGGCAGAAAATATGCAAATGAGATTGCAACTCATGCAAATGAGTCTCTCATTAGCATATTTTTTGCAGAGAAAACTCGTAGTATAGCTGTAGCTCCTTTCATGGTGCAAAATGTCCTCAGATGCATATTCCAAGTAAGTAGGGATTGCAATGCTGACATCCTGAGCATTCCAACTACGAAGCAAAATAGGACAGTTTGCTGTTGGCACTTCTTTGGCATTAGTGCAAAATACACAAATGTTCATACCCCATAGTGAATGATTGTGTTTCTCTCTCTCTCTCTCTCGATATGCTACCTGGCTCTCGTGCTCTCACTGCCTTCTAAGTATCATCTAGAGCACTGATACCAAACCTGTTGCCCTTGAGGACAATATATTAATAGGAAAAATGTGGATTTGATTCTAAAATGAAAGTACATTTCCACAGTTGTGCCTGGTGTGATATTTTTAGTGGAAACGTTTGAATTGGCTCTGTTGCTATGCAGAAGCAGTATGGCAGTCACCTTCTACTGCTGCTTCTGGCACCCCAAGATCACTGCTTCTTTTGCTTGCATGCTGCGTTACAGAGAGGGAGGAGAGTATAGCTCTGGTAGCTCCATTCTCCAGTTGTGGGAGCCCCAAGGAGAGCAGAATAAGACTTCATCTGTGTCTGCACCCAAAGGAGCAATAAGCAAGGATGGCTTATCCCCCAGGGCTAAGGTATTCCCCAGGGTAATAACTGAGGGTAGCCCAGGAAAGTTTAAAAGCAATAGTTGAGAAGCAACAGCCAGTTTCAATTCCCTGATTCTCTGCAACATCCCAGGATAGAATAGCCTGAGAACCATTATAACTTGTCAGCTGAGAACAGTCCCATATTCCATTTGGGGATAGCAGGAGTGCAATGATCTCCAGCCACTTCCCTTCCCACAGCTGATATGCTACCTTTGCCAGTAGCTGTTGGGAGGGGAGCTATGCAAACCCAGTGTCTGCTGGGGGGAGGGGAGCTATGCAAACCCAGTGTCTGCTGGGAACTCCCCTGTGCCAGCTAAACCCCTGGCTAAAATCAGCGAGCCCCAAAATAATGGGCAAGATTTTCAGTGACACACACACTAAGCATCCTCTAGTATGCATGGCCAAAGAGACAGTGTTTGGATCTAGCTCCAGATTAGGCATAGGTTGGAAAGTTGATTTGAGATTAAATAAGGGTTAGGTTCAGTTTCAGATGATTCAGCCCAAGAATCTTGCCAGCTGTTCTCAACATCCTGAAAGGCGGTTAGTTCTTTTTGCAAACCAGAATTATATGCATGAGCTTGAGTTTAGGGAAGCAAACCTGTAACTGATCCTGCACCAGATTTGGAAGGGTTCAGATTCAAAGTTCCAGTGCTGCTTACCTCAAGCAGAAACCTACAGTTGCACCTAGAAACCAAATAACTGTGTGTTCACGTGGCATGTGCATGGACAGTTGTATCTTTGAATATTCAAATGCACATTCTTGCAGTTGTAACAGCAGAAAAACCCATCTTCATCTTGCATGGTAGATCATATATCTACTGCACAAAATGTAATAGTCACTGAGGACTACCAAGACCTTAATAATAGTCTGCTTAAGGACTTAGGCCTGGTATACTACACAGGTGGACATATAGCATTGACCTCGTTATGTCAGTGTCTACACGTCAGCCTTTCTCCCACTCATCTAACTGCCCTACTACACCGACAATAACTCCACCTGCACAAGAAGCATAGGGCTTATGCCATGGTTAGGATGAGGCTGTGTGGATACTGTGTTACTTACATAAGTTGTTGGCTCTCTTGTCAGTTTAATGGCTCTATCAGAGCTGTGAAATTGACAAGAAAACCAGGCAGCTAGAACCCAGCTGCCCCCTGTGTCACTGGGGAGTGGTGCAGTTGAACCACACTCCCATCTGGGAACCTGGGTGAGGAGCCCAAGTGGCTGGACCCCTCTCCTGCCTGGGAGCCAAGGCGAGGAGCACAAGTGACTGGACTCTGCTCCTGGCTAGGAGTTGGAATGAGAAGCATGGATTGATGAACCTGCTCCTCAGTATCAAGAAGTCCCTAGTGG